TCAGTCTCTGTTTCTTTTTACTGAAATCGAGTTATAGATTTTGGTGTGGTGACGGCACAAGCGCCGCTCAGACTCAGACTCAGACTCAGACTCAGACTCAGACTCAGACTCAGACTCAGACTCAGACTCAGGCTCAGGCTCAGACTCTCTCAGACTCAGACTCTCTCAGACTCAGACTCAGGCTCAGACTCTCTCAGACTCAGACTCAGACTCAGACTCAGACTCAAACCGACTCAGACTCAGGCTCAGACTCAGACTCAGACTCAGACTCAGGCTCAGACTCAGACTCTCTCAGACTCTCTCAGACTCAGACTCAGACTCAGACTCAAACCGACTCAGACTCAGACTCAGGCTCAGACTCAGACTTCAGACTCTCTCAGACTCAGACTCTCAGACTCTCTCAGACTCAGACTCTCTCAGACTCAGATTCAGACTCTCTCAGACTCTCGCGCTCGCAGCTCTGGAGTTTATCAGTTGGACAGACGATTAAATGCACTTACATATGTTGGTTTCATTTTCTTTTTATTCCGTCCCAGAGCCTCTGGAGGATTTCATCAGGTTTAACTCTTGAATGACTCGAGTTTTCTGCTCATGTGTCACTTTAGTTTGTGTCACTTTAAAAACTTTAAACACTGTAAACACTTTAAACACTTTAAACACTGTAAACACTTTAAACACTTTAAACACTGTAAACACTGTAAACACTGTAAACACTTTAAACACTTTAAACACTGTAAACACTTTAAACACTTTAAACACTGTAAACACTGTAAACACTGTAAACACTTTAAACACTTTAAACACTGTAAACACTGTAAACACTTTAAACACTTTAAACACTTTAAACACTGTAAACACTTAAACACTTAAACTTTAAACACTTTAACACTTTAAAACACTGTAAACACTGTAAACACTTTAAACACTTTAAACACTTTAAACACTGTAAACACTTTAAACACTTTAAACACTTTAAACACTTTAAACACTGTAAACACTGTAAACACTGTAAACACTTTAAACACTTTAAACACTTTAAACACTGTAAACACTGTAAACACTTTAAACACTTTAAACACTTTAAACACTGTAAACACTGTAAACACTTTAAACACTTTAAACACTGTAAACACTTTAAACACTGTAAACACTTTAAACACTTTAAACACTGTAAACACTTTAAACACTTTAAACACTTTAAAGTTTCTGTTTCCCGCTGCTCTGGTTCATGTTCTGATGTTTCCTCGTCACAAACACCTGGAGTCGTGTTTGTTTCATTCACGTTTAACAAACAAACCTGAACGTTCACGTGCAGAGGAAGAGAAGAAGAGTGGAGAGAGGGAGGAGGGAGGAGGGAGGAGGAGGAGGAGGGAGGAGGAGGAGGAGGAGGAGGAGGAGGAGGAGGAGGAGGAGGATGGGGGGATGGGGGGATGGGAGGAAGGAGAAAGGGAAAGGGAAAGGGGGAGAGGGAGTAAAAGAGTAAAAGAGGAGGGGGGAGGGGGGGATGTGGTTCAGTTTATTTGCTTCGCTCTGACGCAGGAGAACGACAAGATTTGTAGCTCGGGTCAAATCCACTGAGAGAGAGAGAGAGAGAGAAAGAGAAAGAAAAAGAAAGAGAAGAGAGAGAGAGAGAGAGAGAGAGAGAGAGTGTGTGTGTGTGTGTAAGGAAAGGGGGAGTGGGGGAGGAGGAAGGAAATAGAAAAAAGAGAGAGGAAAGAGGGAGGGTGTGATTAGGAGTGAGGAGAGAGAGAAAGAGAGAGAGAGACATAGTGATTGAGAGAGAGTGATAGAGAGAGGGGGAGAGAGAGAGAGAGTGAATGATTAAGAGAGAGGGGGAGAGAGAGAGAGAGTGTGATTAGGAGAAAAGGGGGAGGGGGAGGAGAGGGAGAGAGTGAATGATTATGAGAGTGGGAGGAGAGGAGGAGAGGGAGAGAAGGGGAAGGAAGACAGTACTGGAAGAGAGAGAGAGAGAGAAAGAGAGAGAGAATGATTAAGAGAGAGGGGGAGGGAGAGGGGAAAAGGGAGAAAAAGGTGTGGGAAAGGAGAGAGTGAATGATTACGAGAGTGAGAGGAAGCGGAAGAGGAGGAGAAGAGGATGTGAGGGAGGAGGAGAGGAGGAGAGTGAGCAGGAGAGAGGGATGAAAGGAGGAGGAGGAGAGGAGGAGGAGGAGTGTAGCTGTGGCGTCCATGTTTCTTCAGTGACAGTTTTACGGTGCTGAGCTCAGCAGGAGCCCCCCCCCCACACACACACACACACACACACACACACACACACACACACACCTCACTCTGCGCTACACCTCCGTCTGACTCTCTCCATCCTCCTCTCCTCCTCTTTTCTTCTGCTCTCTCGTTTCCCTCTCTTCCTCTTTAAAACCCGACACACACGAGTCGAACGCTCCGTCTTTAAACACACACACACCACACGTTTAGACTGAGTTTATGATAAACAACAACACACAACAACGCACACAACACACAACACACAACACAACAGCACACAACAACAACAACAACACACACAACACACAACATACAAACAACACATAAACACACAACAACAACACAAAACAAACACACACCACACATTTAGACTGAGTT